AAACCCTGGACCCTAAACCCTCAGCGGCCTGCAGGACAAAGATGGCAATGCCTGCAGCTGGACCCGTTCGCACAGCCAATTGGCTTCCAAAACCTGGAACCGTTGTGCCGCTTCGTTTTTTGTATGCTGCCAGGGGAAGTATAGGGATGCATAGTGATAGTTCGTCAGGGTTTTAGGTTCTTGGTGGTGTTCTTGTTGTTGTTGCGATCATGATTACCATCACGGCTTCCTGTTGTCCACAAGCCCTAAACCCTAAACCTTTCTGTGGTTTAGACAGAGCTTATGAGGTGGTTTAAGGAGTGTAGGGCTCAGGGGCTTGGGGAGAACTTTTTAGGGGTTAAGGGTGGTTGTTGTTTAGGATTTTAGGACTTGGCTTCAGGGTTTCAGGGCTCAGCGCCTAGGGCTTGAAGCCTTAGGGGTTTGAGGTTGCGTAATGTTCTTAGGATGTTTTCGCTTTTGGGACAGTAGCTTCCAAGGTCTCTTAAGGTTTGGGGTTCTGGCTCTATGCACAACCTTCCATGACTTCATTGAAGAACGGCCAGGCTCCATAGGACCTAAAACCCTAAATCCCTAAGCCCATGTCCAGGGCCATGCTGGTTTTTGTCCAGCAAGAAGCTGGGTTGCTGTTAAGGAACTTAAATTAAGTTACCATAATGGGTATATATAGTAAATAATAGGGTTTCCCCTATATAGTAACTTAATTTAAGTTCCTTAACAGCAACCCAGGAAGAAGTTCTAGGATTCTAGTTGCTGAGTTCTCCGGCTTCAAGGAAGGCAGTCTTCTTAAATATGGTAGAAACTTGCATAAGCCCAAAGTGATATAAGGATCCCGCTATATGTGAGCGAAAGGTTCGCTACCCAGCCACTACGACACCTAGAAAGGACAAACGCTGGACACCTCGATTGACCCAGTTTATGTAATCTACCACCTTCTATCTACAATTCCTCCAAAACCTAAACCCTGATCCCTACACCCTAAACACCAAAACCTAAAACCCTAAACCCTACACCCCGCAACACTACACCCCAAGCCCTAAATGCTCGCTTCCATTTTCTTTTCCATTATCCCTAGATTTTTTAAACCCCATAGCCACCCTAAACCCTCGACCAAATGTAACCTTATACAACCCTATAGAATCTCATATAACCCCATATAACCCTATAACCTCATAGAACCCTGTAACCCCATAGGGCCCTATATACTCCCATAGAACCCCCGAGTGTGGGGCCAAGTTGCCACGCACAAGGCCGGCACTGCTGCGAAGCGTGCCACACCGACCCGACGGACGGTATTCCTGGGGTTTAGGGCTTAGGGTCATACCGCTTTAATTCCTAAGGCTTTAGGGTTGTAGGGTTTAGTGTTTGGGGTTTAGGGTTAAGGGTTTTAGGGTTCAGAGTTCGGGCTTCGGCTTCACGGTTGAAGGTTCAGGGTCCCGGATTTAGGGTTTAGACTTCGGGGCAAGAGGCTTACAAGATGTGACGCAACTATCTCGGATCCCCAACGTGGAAGAAATCCACTTGCAACACACAGGGCAGGAGTGACATCATGCAGCAGCGTGCCCGAAGATGTGCGCTGATCTGTAAGCACGTTACGTTACAAAGCACCAATATTGTGGTTGAGGGTTTTGGGATTAGGGACTAGGGCTTAGGGCTCCGGGGATTCTAGTCTGGAGTTGTTGGGTTGGAGTATTGGGATTAGGGTTTAGGGCTTTGGGATTAGAGCTGACTTCTCCGTCACAAGCCGTTGTGCAGAAGCTCCCGTCCATTTTTGTCGAAAACAAAGGCACCTCAAACCCGGCTTCCGCAACTCGCAACCACGCAAAGTTGAAGCCCCCATTTCAGAAAGCTACTCCCCTCCTAAACCCTGCACCCTAAATCTTATAATCCTACAATCTCTACCCTCTCCATCCTGAACCTAAAGCCCCAACCCAATACCAAAAACCCTGGAATTGGGCAACCCGACCGCAACACAGAACCCCCGAAAAAAAACATACATCGGAGGGTCATGCTTAGGTTTTAGGATTGAGGTAGGAAGGTGTAGGTCAACCTCTGAAAACCCTTTGTAAACACTGAATGAACCCCAAATCCTCAAACACGAAGCCCCCGGAGAGCCACTTCTCCACACCAACCCCCAATTCCTAAAGCCCTAACACCCAGAACCCCTTAAGCCCCATTCCCTAAACCGCAATCTCCAAACCCTGCTCCCTAAGCCTGAACCCCAAACCCTAAACCCTTAACCCTAAACCCCAATTCCTAAATGCCGGAGCGCCCTCCGGCAGTTCTGTTTCTGGCTCTGCTTCCGGAGAGGCCACGCAATCCTCTGGCTCAAAAACCCAAAGGGTCCTAAGTACCCATATGGGGAATAGTTACCTAAACCATAAGGGAAATTACTACTACTGAAACCATACTTTGTACCATATAGGTACTTTGGACCCTTTGGGAAAGTTGAGTCAAGTTTTGGTTCCGAGGGTCTGCAAGCCTTTTAGGCTCCTAGGTGGGTTTAGGGTTTAGGGTTTAGGGTAAGCTTTAGGCTCCCAGTACTAGCCCTAACCCCATATAACCCCTGTAGCAAACCTTCCTGAAGGCTTCATACCCCTCAGGAAACCTTCCGGAAGGCACGTAGCACTATTTTAGGTTTTCTGGAGGGGAAGTTCAGATTTGGTGGGCTGCGATGGTTTGGGGTCCCATTGTAGAAGTCCAAGAGACCTGGGGAAAGGTCTGGGTACAGCTTGTCATATATAACTATATAGATATACGCAAACAGTTTTGATGGTTCTAGGTATGGTTTAAGGTACATTCAAGATAGGGGGCTTTGTATGATCTACTAATGCACTGGGAGATCTGGGCATGAGGGCTAGATTTCCACAGACGCAGCACCTCTGCACCACAGCACGTCATTGAAGTCAACCCCAAACCCTAAACTTTAAAGCCTTAACGCTAAATCCTAAACTTTAAAGACTCGACTTTAAACTTGGAAGCCTTAACGCTAAACTTTTTAAAGCCTGAAACCTTAAAACACTATACTCTAAACTCTAAACCACACCATGGAGTCCGCCTGATACCCAGTCAGCTGCACTCATCATTGTTCTAATACAGGGTCTAGGGATTAGGGCTTAGGGTTTAGGGTTGAAGGTTTAGGGGTTTAGGGCTTTCGGTTTAGGGTCTCCCCCCAAAATGGCGTAGTGGAGAAACTCCAAGCCCTGAACCCAACGGCCTTTGAAACCCGATGAAGGAAAAGGCCCTCTATCATCATTAAGCTGCTATTTCAACCGTGCCCATGAGGAAGAGACCCCAGTTTGAGTCATCTTCGTCTGAACAATGACGATGCCTTGCATAAGTTCCCTGGTGAAGGGGCCTAAACAATCCCATGGGTTTAGGGCTTAGGGCTTACGCTCCCTAATTAGCCTAAGCTCTAAACCCTAGACCCAATTAAGCGCTATTATTGGTACTTCTTCACCTAACTCCCGAAGGTTCATGGGAAGTTCGATGCGGGGGTTGGAGGGAAGCAGAAGGATCACGGTAGGGCCAACAGGGTTGAGGGTAGTCATAAGTTGAGGTATGTAGCAGACACAACAGGACTTATTCAGGAATCCTCAATCCTCCACTGAGCTATCAACGAAATTGAAAATTTTCCAAGTGACCACGTTTGCGTCCCCTTCCCAGATATTGAAAGCCGTACTTGCGCGGCGAAAGGGTTCCCCCAAGACCCCTAAACCACAAGCCCTACACCCAAAATACCTGAGACATCCTGAGACCCTCAAGGCTATAAACTGTGAGACCTGAACCCAATGAACCCTCCACCCGAATCCCTCAACCCTAAATTTACATAATCCCTATACCCCTAGATAATCCAGATGTATCCTTATATGCGGCTTTTAGGTTCTTTAATTCCTAATTACGAGCCAAGCCACAGTCGGACTGATGTAGGGTAGTGGTGAGCTACCCTTCCTCAAGAGCAAGCAAATTGCCCAGGGTTTAGGGTTTAAGGTTTAGGGTTTGGGGTTTGGGGTCTAGGCTTCAGGGTTTGAACTTAGGGGTCCCGCCTGACGGCTTACAGGGGTCGTGTGGGGATATATGGGAATTTGTAAGGTTTAGGGGTTCCTAAAATCATAGTTCCCTTGTTTGGAATCTATATCGGGCCCCCCCCCCCATTTATGGAACCTCCCACATAAAAATCCACCTGGACACTCCTCCCACCTTTGTGGTGTGGTGATATGTGGTGTATATATATATATATACCCCAAAGTAAAGGGTTCTGCAGGGCCCCGGTAGGGCTTAGACCTCTATAAGCCCGCTTGGGTAGTTTCCCGGAGCAAGAAACCCAGTGCTTCGCATACGATACACTCCCGGAAACTAACATGGAACCCCAAAAAGGGCCCTATGAAGACTACAGTCCTTCTAAAAGGGGGCTATAGGGGTTTCCATGTTAGTGTGGGGGAGTGTACCTTGGCCTCTGGCTTGCCGATGAATGGAACACGCTTCGAAGAACCCCTAAAGCCCTAAACCCACTAAACCCAAAACCCACTAAACCCTAAACACACTAAACCCAACACTTTAGATCCTAAAAGTCGAAAGGAAGGGGAGTGGCAGTCATCATAGGAGCTAAGTAACCCCATGAGCCCCGAATACAAAACACGCCTCCGCCCTCAAACCCCCACATGTCAAACATGATCCGAATATGCATGTCGTATTATCGGGTTTCGGGATGAAGGTTTAGACCATACTGGAAGTGCTTGAAATTAGGGGTTCGGGTTGTAGTACTAGGGGAGGCCGACAGAATTTCAGTAGAGCTGTTGGATCTGGATTTGCTTTATTACTGAGCCTAAATCCTAAACCCAAAGGTCGTACCTTGCCAGCTATTCAGGCTTCTTAGTCTTACAGCACCGAAAGGACGCCACCAATTTATGCCTTCGGGACAGAAACAACACGGATGCTATCTTGTTGTTGGTATTGGGTTTCCGAAAAATTGAAGAGTCCTGTTAAGACGTCTTCAGTCTGCAGAACTTCGGGGTACATCAGGGAAACCCCATGTTTGAAAACTCCCGTAACACCAACCCTAAGCCACTAAGCCCTAAACCCTAACTTTAAAACACAAACCGCTAAGCCCAAAACACCCCGAATCCAAGCTTGCAAGTTGGCTGCCCTAAGAAATGTCCAGGCGAAGATCCGACATCCTATGTAAGACCTACCTGGGTGACCAAACAACCAGACATGACGAGGGCTAGGGTTTTTGGTTCAGGTTTAGGGTTGCAACCCTAAACCCCAAACCCTAACAGCGTAAACTCGCCTAAACCCCAAATCCCAAAACCCTGAAGACCGCTTCCTCCTTGGGAAAAACTGCCAAATACAGAACCAAGGCCAAGCTTCAGCAGCTCAGATTCGCTTCTGCAACGTTGCAAGTGCCGCTCTTCGGCCTAAGCACTTACCCAGACTCTCCTATGTAGTTCCTTTTTGGGTAGTATATTATAATCCCTTACCAAAAAAACATAAAAAGACCCAAAAAGGAACTACATTGGAGCCCTTGGGTATTTCAAAGGGTTCAGGGCTTAGACATGCGCATCGCACAAGCAAGCACGGCAGAGACGTTCCGATCCGGTGCATTCTACACTGAATAATGGAAAAGAAAATGGAAACTACTAGGTAATATGGGGACTAAGGATTATATGGATTATATAGGGGCTTTATAGGGGTTATAGGGTATATATTGGGGTTATATTGGGGATAATGGAAAAGAAAATGGAAACTACTAGGGACTACACTACGCTACCACGCAGGTCCAGGGTTCAGGATTCAGGGTTTTGCGTTTAGGGCTTCAAGGCGGGACCCCAAAGTCAGACCTTTTCTGAACATCCGTGCACCCCATATGTGTATATGTATATGTATACGTCCATACATTCGCATATGAATATGTATGTATGTGTGTATGCCTGTATGTATGTATGTATGTATGTATGTATGTATGCATGCATGCATGCATGCATGCATGCATGCGTGCGCGGCTCCCTAAACCCCTAAACCCTAAACCCCCAAAACCCCAAGGACCAACCTGGGGGGGGGGGGCGTTTAGTCAGACCCTGATTTTGGGATACCTAAACCTTATGTCTAGTTCCTCTGCATGGTGAAAACTGTGTAAAAAGGGGTTCGAGTATGGGTGTCTAGGGTCTAGGCAGGGCTGGAGTAGGAAATTCTGGGAGGGGTTTAGGGTTTAGGGAAAATAGAGGTGCCTATTTCCAAGGTTGAGATACAGGGAATTTTCCGAAAATGGTATCACCCTTATACATCACCAACAAAGCTTATCCTTTTGAAACCCTGAACCCTAAACTCCTAACTCCTAAACCCTATACACCTGAAAAAAGGACCCCTCTGTTGATGGACAAAATCAATGCCAAACCTTCTTCCTCTGCTGAGCGCCCTCCTAGGTACTTCCTCTGCTGAGCGTCCTCCTAGTATATACTGGGTTGTTATTAAGGAACTTAAGGCACTTAGACTTGGTTACCACATTATGGGTATATAGGGCTTAGGATCTAGGAATACCATAATACACCCAATAATGGAGAATGAAATGCACAAGAAACATGAAACTTCAATGGAACCTGGGGTTACATAGGAGCGATATAGGGATTACACTAACTTACCATAATACGGGTATATAGCAAATACAGAAGTGAACAGGGAACTGGTCGCTACGTATAAAAATCCCCCTAAACCCTAAACCCCTAAACCCCTAAACCCCTAACCCCTAAACCCTAAACCCCTAAAGGATTTCATACAAGTTGGAAGCCCTGAACCCTCGCATGACGTCTCCTCTCACGTCTTGAATCGGCCCATGGAGGTTCAGAGCCGCGATAATTCCTCATAGTAGGAAGCTCCTGAAAATAGATCTATTAGGGTTATATGAGGGAAAATAGATATATTAGGGTTATATGAGGGAAAATAGATGTATTAGGGTTATATGAGGGATTAGGGTTATATTGGGGTTACATTAGAGTTATGTTGGGGCTATAATAGGGCTATATTAAGCACACGAAAGAGGGAGAAGGTCGCAGGTAAACCACGCCCTCAGATTAACGCGACCGCGGAAGACGCGTTTGCCTGCGCAATGAAACAAAGTTGCGAAGACAAGCGTTGCGGATGAAGCGGCGGAGGGGCCCTTCGTGACATAGGGGTTTGCCTTTTCTTGCCATTCCCTACCAGCCCCCAAAACCTGTAAGCCCTCATTTCCCCCTTGTTCTCATGCAAACTATCAGCCCACGGGTGCCAAGCCTACGTAATGATACCTTTTACTTCCCGAAAAAATGACTCTTACAAAACCACGGGAAACTCCTTGTGAAAATCTGAAAAGGTTTTACACCCTTTTTGATAGCCCGCACAAGAGGCGCCACCCCCCCCCCCTTGAGAACATAGCCCGACATGCTAACGGTAAGTCGGATTCTTTTGGGAATCCTCCTTACAAGGGGCTTAGGCCGAGGCCAGGTAGAAGAGTGTACATACGTTCCGATAAGGGAAAGTTTACACACCAAAATTTTAGGTGCCGCAATAATACATAACCAAAAAAAGGCCCATAATGTTTGGCGTATCAATTAATAATTACCAAGATCCTTAAGAGGTCTATTTGAGGTGTCCTCTACCATACTGATATAAGGAGTCTAGACCACAATACTGGTGATTATTCAAGCTTCTACGGTACCCTTTGGGACCAGCTACCTGGGATTTGGGGGGGTCCCAGTAAGGCCGACCAAAATTCATGTCATGTGATTTTGGAGCCCAGGAAAACTGAACATTATTCACCAAGGATCCTAAGTGCTTATAAGGGAAAATTAACCCAAACCATGTCATCAGTTTCGAATATTCAACACCAAATGTGTACTCTAGATATACATACATGCAGAAAATACATGCATACATGTATATATATATACATATATAACTGAATCCGAAGGACCCTTAACTTTCAATCCCTACACACCCTTGAAACCCTCTACATAGATACATATACATACGGGGCTTTCCATAACTAGGGGTACCATCTGGGCCACCCGTATTGAGGACTATAACATATTGGGGTCTATATTGGGGTCCCCTTATTTTTGGAAACTACCATATTTCTAGTATTGTTATATAAAGCCATTAATATGGCCCCCTTATATAGACTGTTACAAGGTAGGGGCAGTACCCAAAGGGTACGTTAGAATAACTCGAATAACGGAAAGAACGTGAAAACTAACAACGTATCTGTAAAAAGTTGTAGCCAGAGCCCCCTTATTGTTTTAGCTGTGCTATGCTTCTGGGTTTAGGGGTTCAGGAAGTCATCTGAGGGTGGGGCAGTTCCAAAGTTGAGCCCCAAGTTAGGGGAGGGCCATGCTCTGTGCCAGTCTGACAAGAGACCCAAGCTTCGAATTCCATACCTAACTGCCCACGATAGTTTTGGCTGCCCGGCCCTTACACCGGCAAAACCCTTCTGCAAGCTCCAAAAGCCCAAGAGACCCTAAACTGTCCTAAGTCCGCAACAGGAGGCGCATCTGCAAGCCAAGATTCGCGCTGCGAACCTCATGGAGAGACGCGGCCGGGGCGCCATGGGGTATCCAAGTTGTATCCAGGTAATATCCTGTAGGACTTGATAAAAGATTGTATACTGTTTAGTATGGACCCTACTAGTGTTTTGTGGTTTGCTCAGGTACTTGGGAGTTTACATCTAAGGAATTTCCCGTAGCGATCCGTACTTAAGAATGAAAGAGGTCCCCATAATCCTGTCGTTGTAGTGATAGATCGAAGGTCTCTCCTACAGGAGTCTAATTTCAGGGAATTCCAGCTTCGAAGCGTTTTATGTATTCGGGTTATTTTGGGTGTCTTGTACAAGCAGGTTGCAATTTAAAGGTCCTGGGAAGCTATGGGACTTGACTGGACCAGTTCGTTTTTGTTCGTGAGGCGTCCACAAGCATGCGCCAAGTGTCCGCAAGCAAGCGAAAGGTCGCGGACCGCTTCCAGGGGTCGGGGTTGCCACTGCTTGTTATTTTCACGCATTCTTTACTTGCGCCAAGTCTCAACAGTCACAGGCATGTGAGCTCCTTGTGCGGTAGCCTAGCTTTCTAATGGCCTAAATATTAGCAGTCGTCTTTTGAAGGAGACCCAAAAGGGGACCGCGATTTTAACAATCTTCCATCGTATCTCTGTCGCGTGCCAAAGATGTCAACTTTCATTGGGATCGGGCATCTGAACTGCCCCACCTGCGAACCATTTATCTCCAATGGCGTTAAAAATACAAAAAACCTAAGCACGATATGTTCCGATTCCCGAGCTTGGGCCCTACACAGGCCCAGAAGCCCGTAAAACCCTCAGGCATAGCTTCTTTACACGCCGTAAAGCATGTATATTGACTTAATGCAAGATCACACTTATGGTCGTTATCTTTCACGTCATCTTGCGTAGGCGCACAGGTATGATCGACATCATCTCGCACACTACCATTCTGAAGCCCTAGAATTCTTTTGGTTGCCTACTCTGAAGCCTCAACTCTGAGCCTGAGCCCAGACCTGATTCCCAGGCAAGACGGCGCTTCAGCGTCAAGCAGAGCACCAGGTCGTGCTGATGGAGCCAGTTGCAGGTTTTGCTCTGAAAGTTGTAGGTCACGTTTAGGTGATTGATTAGGCACTATAATTCTTTGTCACTTGCGGTTATCAAAGGGCACACTGATTTTGAGGACTTGCCCATTACGGTGTCATCATGATTGTGTTGGCGGCCTGGCAATGCTACTGCTTGTCCTGTACACGCGACCATTTCTGAGCATTGGTGTTGTTCTTTTCATTCCTGGTTCTGGTTACTACTGTTCGTGTTGTTAGTAGATCCATCCTTTTCATAAAGCCCTTTGCCTTGCTAGTAGGTAACCCTCAAAGCCTCGGTTCATAAACCGACTTGACATGCCTGGTAACCCTGAAAACTCACAGGAACCTTCCCAAACCCTACGAAACGTGTATCTCTCAAAGTTTCCCTGCTGACATGATCCTTAATGGGGACCCGGGACCCGTACAGTCACGCGGGAATCATCTGCAACCTCGACATTTCCATAGGGTATCCTAGGATTCCTGGTGGGGGGTGCTCCATCTTGAGAACCCGCTCAACATATCAACTCTCAACGTTACCATTGCTGCAAGCTGTAGCGCGTGAGTCTGGGAGGCCGCTAAGCTCCGCAAGATGATCGCCGACGAGAAGGCCATGGAGAAGGAGCAGGCGGCTTGAGGAAAATGTTGTTTGGGAAAAAGGTCTGGGGCTTAGGGGCTGAGAGTGCATGGTTCTCGGTTTTGGATTTGGATTGGAGCGCAGGCTTCAAGCATTCCAGCTTGAGGGTGGGGAGTCCAAGGGGTGCTGTAGCAAAGATCAGCATGTATATCGATTGTTAAGTTGCAACAGCACTGATTAAAAAGGCCCTACAACGGCAGGAATCACTGCAGTAACAATAGATAATATAACTGTACAATGAAATGGTTCTACATCAGGAAAGCAGGAACTACACTAGTAGCAACCGTACTCACACTGAGGGTTTTCAAGAAGCTGAAAGCAGATTTTTTCTTGTTACAAGTGCTCCTGCTATGGCAAGAGGAGTAAGACGATCCTATGCACTAATGATTGAGCAAAACGAGAGCAAGCGCAAGAAAAGTACAAGTTCAAATGAGGATATCAAGTCGATCCATGCCATTATTCAACTGGTTCCACGGCTTGTCCTCTACCCTCCCTAGATGAGAGAAAGGTTCCTTTTTAGATGCCACTGTTGTTCTGCAAGGGGGCTACATGCGAATTATTTCAACATGCTTACTTCTCTACCGTTATGCATTTACTTCATATTCTTTTGATTGCAACATGTTTCTAAAAGGAACATCGCCCCATCTGGCCCAACTGCCCAAAAACCTTCCCGCGCTTGGGATGCAATGTTAGTCTTGGTGACCCCAACCTAACCCTGAACCCTCAACTCCAAACTTGAAACCCCATGGGGTTGAGTAACTTACTGGTGGTTAGTAGCAAATAAGGGAACATAGTCCCTGTATAACCCCTATCTCATATATTCTCTTATTCCCTACTGTAACGCAAGTATATGCCCCATTTACAATGTAGTTCTTTTCATTTTCTTTTCCATTCTCCCTATATAATCCCAATGCATTCCCTTATTCCCTACTTACCCCAAACCAAAACCCTAATCTCTAAACCTTAAACCCTAAACCCTGATCCCCAAGCCCTTTACACATATTCCCTCACTGAAGGGTACTTTCCATAGCCTTGCTGCCGTCGCAGGTGGCGGAGTTGGAGGCGGAGATCCGCAAGGTGCAGCAGGCCAGGACTGACGCTCAATTTCGTAGTAGCTGAGTATTATTACTCTTAATATTACTACCATTTTTGAGTATTATTCTTCTTATTATTACTGCCATTGTTACTTTTATCATTAGTATTATTGTTGCAATTATTAGTATGAATACGATAATATTCCAACTAGACGTGAAAGGCTTATCCTTTTTTGGGCCAAGGAACTCAGCAATCAGGACCTGTTAGCCAGGCCCTCCTCAAAGCCCCCAACCTACCTAAGAACAAGCATTTCCAGTACAATACAATTAAGTATCCCTACAAATCACGGGAGAACTCAGTACCAGCTGATCCCTTTTGTAGAGCCACTAGGGTTTGTTCATTGTCTTTGTCCGTTGTTCATGAAGGAGAACATGAAAACAATATGCGACGGCATGAGTAGCCTGCCCAAAGAAAATTTTGGTACCCCGTATAGGCCTCTTTGTGAAGGACAGTCGTTTGCAAGGGAAGAGTAGCCATGACATCCATATTCAGAACCATGGTGGCAACAATTGTAGCAGTAAATGCGATATGATGAGCCACAAAGCCAACAGTGATGCCGGCTATTGTGCTGTGCGTTCTCGCTGATGTTATTAAGATGCTCTGCAGGAATTTCTGGAGAAATCCGAGCCAGCTTCCAAATTAGGATGTTCACTTGATGGGCTTCCTTACAAGCTCTAAGCTTCATTTCATACCTGAGCACTTTCAGAAGTTCCTGGCTAGACCGTAAAGTAGGAAGAGATCAGTCCCTAAGGGATGATTTGTGAACCCTGGACTCCCTCAGTGTCAGCCCTTGACCTTTCCTTTTCTTCAACTTTCTTCTTGAAAAGTTCAGCACCAAGATCGTAGATCCTCCTCCCATACCCGATGAAAAAAGGCCGGAAATGCGACGAAGAAGGCCTGGCTGCACCTTGAGAAACTGGGATTGTGTAATGAAACTTCTGAAGCTGAACCAAAACGAGAAGTAAATATGGCAAGAGCATAACCAAAGCAAACCAGAACATAATCCCTGCTAAACGTCACAGACATAGAATCCATGAGCACTTACTTGGGGTCTTCATGAATAGGGGGCTCAATATAGACACCAAATTGTTATTTTTGCTTTCATAGGAAGCCCGAAAAGCAATCCCTAACCGTTGGAAACCCTCGTCCTGAGACACCATTATAGCACCAGCGTTTCAATTCCAATCTCTCTATATTTCAATTTCATTCTCCAGAGAACTCTGCTGGCCAATGAACACCCTTGCCCTGATGTTGAGCCTCCCATGCTGCCATAATGTGCTTGATCGTGACTTAAATTTGATAGTCCCCTTACGGGTAAGGACAGAAAGTAGACCAATGGGTCAGGGGCTGGTAGTATGCGGAGGGTTAACTGGGTGACCTGCATGGTGGTTGCGTTGTCACAAAACCTTCCCAATCTAGACCCGATATACTTGCGTGCTGCCTTTGCAAGGGGCAGGATGATGAGACTAACCGCTCTGCAACAGCCAGCCAGCCACCGCTATCGCCACCGCCATCGCCATGGCCAACGCCATTGCCACCGTCGCCGCAAGCGTCACAGCTGCCACCGCCATCATCACCACTACGCAGACAATCGCTAGTAAAAGCAAACACGCCAAGTAAGCCTGAGTCAGTTGTCGTCATGCTGCTTTCACTTGATCAATTTGCAAACTCGCATCGCAATCATTGTTTTGATCCTTCTAGTGATACTTCTGCCCATGTGAGTCATCATCGCCGTAATGATACCTATCTCGTTCGTCTGAGTCGTGGTACGAAAGTTGTATTGTGACATGTGGCAATCCTGCCTGCCCACAGGTTCAAGTGAACGCGAAGTTCCTTCGAGCGAAGTAGAGCGCTCACCACAGTTTGTGTTTCACTTCACGGTTGGGCTCTGGAGTGGAGTCCGCAGCTCAAGTAAGGAGCGAAAAGAGCGCAGGTGCAAAGTTTAGTGGGTGATTTAATTACGGTTTCATAGCTCACCACAAGAGGTGCGTGCTTCGAAGAGTGGTGCAGGATTAGTTGGCTCATGGGGCAAGACCGTGTGACAAACGGAGTTGACTTCAAGGCACTGCGAATGCTTTTTCGGCTCAGACACCACCGCTCTTCGCCTTGGCGCATCTCTAAAGGTTTGAACCTCAGTATTGCTGCATGCAGACGTCCGTCATGTTGAATGCTCAATCATCTATGTATCTGTGTAGCCCTCCATGTTTTGTGTCCTGGGCAGTACTGGTTTGGTTGGCGGTTGAAAGTGTCTAGGCTCTGCTAGCAGGTTTGCAACTCCAGGCCTATGCCATCTTCAACCATGTTTGTCAGGCTTTCCCAGGGAAAACGCAGGGTTCATCGTCTCATGTCTGAACGCTTCTAAGAAATGCTTTGCTGAGAGTCCGAAGCAATTGGGCGGTGCCCTTTCTGATTTACAGCAAGGGCCCTGCAGGGAATCTCCCGGCTTCTTATGGCGACCCGGGATTGAATTCTGTTGGGACTATTGACAGAGATTGCTTGTGGATTGTGACTTGCCGCTCGTGCCCAGATTCTGCCATGGCCGACGAGCAGGATTTGGAGTGGTGCCAGCGGCTGCATTGGCTCGGGATTGGCAAGCCCTACACCCTAAGCCCTAAGCCTAAAACCCAAACGGGGGTACCCAAGTGGAAATCTGTTAAATAAAGGCGAATCTTGCGCAAGTCGAATTCCTCTTGGAGTGAGAAGGGGCGACCTCCCTGTTGTGACATATCGCCAATATTCACCAATCCTCTTTTAGAACCTTCATCATCGGGAGTCTTTCTTGATCAAGAAAATTTCGACCTGGCAATTTTGATAAATGACTGAGTCTTGCCTGGGAATAAGGAGGCAAAATTAGCATTCAAGGCTGCCTCAAAGTGCCTTGAAGGCCAGCCCTCAAGTTCTGAAACATCATCCACTGCAATCCCACAGGGCCACAAAGGAACCTGAACGAACCCATGCAATCCTCACACATGCGATGTTTTGGTCATCAGAACGCTGGTGCGACTTGAGGTTGTCGGACTACGTCCTGTCTTTTCTGAAGTGCGCCCTCATGTTTTTCGAGAGGTTGCTTAGTTTTGGGGTGGAGAGGTCGAAGCTGATGGGATTTCCTAATGTAAGGATATGAATTATGTTCTTGGACTGGGGGTCGAGTCGTGTGGTGAACTTCTGGATGAAACCCGGCAGCCACTGCCTAAGAGGTAATGTGAGAGCGTGGGATTGGTCCCTCTTCTAGTTATCCTTTTCTAGATGAGGCTTACTGTAACATGGAAAACCCAACAAATGTTCCCAATGGCTGCAAGATTGCTTTATTCTGCCAACTTGCGGGTACCCACACGCGACCCTGTGAGCGTAAATTGTGGTTGGCTTCAATTCTTTGCACCCCATATTGTAGTGTGTATTCGATTGAGTAGAACTCGCTCCCTCTCCACATCCATCGCGCTGCTTGTTCGTGACGCTGTCCTTTTGGCCTCCAGCTTTCCGGATCGTCCGGACTTTAATTGCAGAACACAGCAGACCACATGAATGGGTACCATTTCTTATGACAAGACCACTGAACTACACTACTTGTAGCTTCAAACAACTAACTACGCATTCAGCCGTTCAGGATGAGTGTCGACCAAAATGAGCATCGACACACCATAGGTTGACCTTAGACTGCTTAGCCAGCGTCCAGTAGAAACACACATTGTGGGCCGTTCCGCAATCATGCAGGCCTGGAGCAGATTTGCAGCTCAATCTCAAGCTGTGTGGTCTGCAGCGCAAGAGAACTTCTGCATGCAGCACCTGTTCGCGACGGTTCGAGTTTGTTGTCTTCAGTTTTCAGCATGTTTCCGGCGAGTGCGCTTCAAACGCCTTGGTAGCATCAATTGTGCAGCTCTTCTTTGTTCGTTGCCGTCAGCAGGCGTCTGGCGTGGTGGGTGGCACGCATTTAGAATATGAGGCTGAGGCTAACAAAAATGTCAAGACAAAGGTTGTTGAATCTCTCCCAAGATCTTACTGGTTCTTAGCATGGAATAAGAGAATATACCCCCTGTATTATCGAGGGTGGTGCGCTGTGGGGCCTGGGTTTTTTAGTATTGTATTTGCTGTATATGTATCTATGTCATCCAAGATACTACAGGTATCTCAAATTTAAGTAAAGTGGAGGTTTCTAGTCTTGGGCTTCTTTTTTTCTCTACATAATTCCTGAGTAAATGTGTCTCGGATTCCTTCTGATATCACAATATGTTCCTTTTTTCCTATTAAGAACCAGTAAGAGATCATATCGACAATGCGGCAGTGCAAGTTTTCCTGAAAAGGAGCAGTGCTGAAACCTGGAAGCTCAGAACCCACGCTGAACGCCTGCAAAAGCCCGAGACTGAGCCCTGTTTACGACTCCATAGGCCCAAACCCTCGAAGCTAAGCCCCTCGCTTTCAGTCCCACCCTACCCCACATTCCCCTGGCAATTCTCGTAGAATACCCGCCTAATCCCAAACTACGTTCTTCGCAAGGTGAGGTCAATGCCTTCTGCCGAGCGGCCGCGATCCAACACGCGGTCGCACCTTCGTCCTCGCAACCAGGTCAGTTTCAGTATTCGTCTAAAAAGCCTTTTCCATTAGTATGAAAGGTTTTCTCTCCACTAACATTAAATACATTAGCCAAAATGTCTGGGGCCTATTTGGTCCATGTAGGCTTGTTTAGATTGTTGTAACGGTTTGAAAGCCCAGATCCTTGAAGTCCTGCGACATAAGCTGCAAAACAACCACAACTTGCAGTTCTCAGCCCCAAACTCAGCCCGGTTCATGTGTTGAGGCACGCTGTGTGCGCCGGAGTCCCAGCTTACTGACACCTGGCTGCCATGAGGCGGCCATAGGTGAAACACATTATGGTAGTTTCCTTGAATGGATGTACTATGGGTTCCCCTGGATTACCTCGGTTCTTGGCCTTCTCCGGGTCTCTGCATAGGTATATATATATATATATCAGGAGACTGCAGCTTGATGGTGCCTAC